GCGTGGGGACGGGCGGCAGGGTCTGCACGGCCAGCAGGGGGGCCGCAAGTTGACGCTCCGCGGCACAAACCAGGGGGCAGCAGCGGACGAAGCGTCTGAGGGGCTGAAGAGACAGCACGCCCGCTAGCTGCTTCATCGCGTTCTGGTGCTTTCTGCCCATGCGCCGTGTTCTGGTGAAGGACTCTGGGCTAGCTAGACCATACACACCCTCCCGAAAAAATTGAGGACACGATATCCAGCTGAGGACTGGTCAACCGCGTGCTGACAAGATGGCTCCCGCCAGCGAGATGCGGAAGGGCGCTGCGTCGGCGGGGCAGGGTTGATGGCGAGCGCGCGCACCTGGTGGGTACGTGCTGCTTGGCGGCCCTGAACTTGGTGCCCAGCTCCAGCAGCCGCGCCTCGCCCACTGCTTCACGAAGCTCAGGCATGAGGTGCTCCTCTGGGGATGGGACGGGTGATTTGGGCGGGTGGCATGTGCACTGAAAGGGTTGAGGTCGGCGAGCCTTGCAGCGAGGAGCAGAGGGTGCTGACCATGACTGGTGACAGCAAGGGGATTTGGGTGCGTGTCAGGTGCGGCAGCGGGGGCGCAGCGGTCGCAACAGGCGGATGCCTGTCACTGGCAGTCGACTCTGTGTCCTCACCCACCCCACCCCCTGCCCCTTTCAGCTCCTCCCTCCCTCCCTGTTTCCCGGCCCTTTCTGTCAGTTGGTTGGAGTTGGTTAACGTCGTGTGAACGCCGCACCCACCCTCTGTCATGTGTTCGAAGAAGACCGCCATGAGCTGCTCCACCTTGGATTTGAGGCCGTCATCGCCAACCTGGGGGTGACGGGGATGACAGCGTATGGCGTCACACTGGTGTGGTCCAGGCCGAGTCACCCACATGACTCGATGCGTGGTGCGGATGGCTTTGCAACGTGGGCGCCAGCTACTCGGCGGTCACAACCACGCCAGTTGATTGTGTGGCAACGTTGTGCTTTGTGTACATAGGTCGTACACATGACTCCCCAGAAAGTAAAGTCTTGACCCCAAAACACCGCTCATGCAAACGAGCACAGCACCCCATCCAAATCTATGTGCATGTGCACGCCTGAACAGCCGCACTTTCGCCTGCACCCAGCGCCCCCTATGTCACCTCCCTCCCCCACCCCACCCCCACCCAGCTGGTGGGGGGGTGGTGCTAGCACCACCCGGACCCTACGAGTGTTACCAGTAGTCACCTTCATGCCGTCGATGTCGGCCAGCAGCATCTTGAGGGACTCGTCCACGTCCAGGCTGTGCTGGCGCGCACTCTCACCGATCTCCTGAAGGCGATGATAAGACATATAGGAAACAAAACAGTGATTATCAGGTTATGACAAAGGATGGCTGGCCTTGCGACACCTGAAACCGTTGATCCGTTTGACCGGCCGCACGCCTTTCGCACAGCTGGGCTGGGGAGCGCCAGCGCCAGCGTGAGCCGCGGCCGCCGCGATGCACAGGAGCAATCTTTGCTGCCGGGACGTGGCACAGGCGCGCACAGCTGACGCTGGCGGGAGGCAGAACCCCCCTTGCTGGCAGGACGGCCGCAGCCCCAAAAACCGCCGGGCGGCAGTTGCGCGTTACCGGGTGCCGGGCCTGCAGACGCACCTCCCCAAGGACGGGGCAGAGCACCTCCTCCTGCGCGTGCATGTGCAGGCACAGCTCCCGCACCTGCAGCAATATGATGCAATAATCGCATGAAGGGGGGGGACGGCTTCTCAGCAACGGGTGGGGTTCCGGGGCGAGGGTGGTGGGTCGTGAGGGTGAGGGTGCGGCGGGCTGGTATGATTGGAGGGGGGTGCGCACATGGCAGCCAGCTTGATCGGTGCGCGCGGGTCGGTGGCATATGCGCCGACGGAGGCAGGTCTGTGCCGGCGAGCCGCTG